ACTTTGGTCCAGTCACAATGGCTTCCTTGCTATTTCTCAAACACATCAGGCATGCTTCTAGCTTAGGACCTTTGTACTAGCAGTTCCCTCTGCCTATAATATAACACTCTTCCCATAGATATCCACATACTAATCCCCTCACCTACTCCAAGTCTTTGCTCAAATGTTACCTTTTCAGTGAGGCTACCCTGACTACCTTGTTTACGATTACAACCCACCTACAACCCCCACCCTGTACTCCACTCCCCCTTATCCTGTCCTACTTATTTTTTCATAATGCTTATCATATTTTAACATATTAATATATTTGTTTAATATGTTCATTTTTTATTGTCTCTTAGCCCTTACTAATATGTAAATTCCATGAGAGCAGGCATTATTGTCTATTCTGTTCACTGATATGTCCCAAGCATCTAATAAGTATTCAATAATTATTTGTTGAATGGATAAATGAGTTTCTTATTTCTCTCTATGCTCTCTTATCCACTGCTGAACACTAGGGGTATAGAATAGCATTTGTTCAATAGAAGGTACTTGTATGAATTTCCTATGGCTGCTGTAATTTGTGGCTACAAATTACCACAAACTTGGTAGCTTAATACAACAGAAGTTCATTCTCTCACGATTCTGGAATCCAGAGTCTGAAATCAAATGTGTTGGCAGGGCCATATTCCTTCTGGAAGCTCTAAGGAAGAAGGTTCCTTGCTTCTTCTAGCTCTGGCAGTTAGTCGCCTGGCATTCATTGGCTTGTGGTTGCATCACTCCAATCTCTCTCTCCGTCTCACATCTCTTCCTATTCTGTCTATGTCTTCTCCTCTTTTGTCTCTTATAAGGATTCTTGGCACTGGATTTAGGGCCAACATGGCTAATCCAGGATGATCACATCTCAACATCCTTAATTGTGTCTGCAAAGGCCCTTTTTCCAAATAAGGTCATGTTCACTGGTGTCAGGGGTTAGGACATGGACATGGGCATATCTTTTGGGGGGCTGCCATTCAACCCACTATAACAAATAGTTATGAATGAATGAATTCTCTCTCAAAGCCAATATTCATCTTTGGTTTTCTACCCTCTCTTCCTTCATGTGTGTCCATCCCAGTTCACATGCACATTCCTAACCTGATATACATACATTTTGCTAACGCTTGACCTCAATGCCTCAGGCGACAGGTTTTGTCTTCTGCAAAGCAAAAACAAAACAAAACACACAAAAGAATGAAGAGATTTATACTGAAACAGGAATGTTGCAAGAAAAAAAGGAAATAATTCAGATCACAAAGTGAAAAAAAAAAATAACTGAGCAAGGAGAACAAATTGTAGTAAATGGGTGAAAAAGAGTAGGGAAGCCCCAACAGTAGATAAAAGAATAAGGCAAAAATCTAGAGTTGGGGAATTCTAACCCTGGGGTAAATCTTCTGTCACAAAGGGAAAAATGGGATCAAGGCCGAGAAGTAGAAATAGGGAATGAGGTCAGGAAACCTTTGAGAACTAAAATTGGGTTTGAAAATAGGGAAGCAGACCTCTGGATAATCTGCCGCTTGAACATGTCAGCTTTGTGCTGAACCTCCAGGTGTGTCATCTCCTCATTCAGCTCATTCCTGATATTCTGAAAGTTAGTAACTGCCCCAAAGGGCCATTAGGTGTTGGGAAATGGTGGTGACCAGACCTGGGGAGAAGGCTTGGATGGGGAGAAACCAAGTGAAATATCCATCACAGGCCCCAAACCACCCTGCGATTTCAGGTTTTCATGTGGTCACTGAGGCTGGTACTAAGGCAGGGACCACATGAGTACATGGAGTAGGCACTCTAATTTCCTTCCAACCACCCCTCCTACAAAATTTCACCTCTTCTATGCTTACCCATCATGGCTACTATGATATTTCGAAAGATGATGGAACCAAGTAACAACGAAAGGATGACATAGATGCTGCTGAAGGTGCGGCTAACTTCAGGCACCAGCCAGGTATCCTGAAGCAGTGCATACCAATGATCCATGGTGAAGAGAATGAATACTGTCACTAGGGAATTCGGCAAGTCCCTAAAGGAAAAGGAGGTGTGTGTATAGATAGAACAGAGATCTAAACCTCTCAGAAACAGTATCATTCTCACTCTTTTTTCATTCTTAAAGCAACATAAGAGCATTTCTTTGTTTGCTCTGACTTTGGCTTCTTTTCTACCATACTCCATTTTTTAGTTAATCATTCTTCAGTTTGAGGTTGTTTGATTAGGTTTTCCTTTATCATGAATAATCTATGAATTTCACTTACTATTCCTTTAGTACCTGGGTCATAGGAGGCAGTCACTACATAGGTACTGATTTTTTTAAAAAATGAATGAATGAATCACCAACTACATATCATTATTTGTAAGTTCATTCTCCACTTTCCTATGGACTTCGTCTAATCAAAGATCATTTATATATTTAGCAAACATCATTCCTATGTAGTTCATTGGTATGAACTGACGGTCAAGCAAATGGATGGATTTGTGACATAAACATGTGATCTCAAACAATGAATGATAATGTATATGTCACAAAAGTTTTCAGGAAGGTATCTAAATTCTCTTTCTCTCCTTCTCTCCATATGCAATTTGTTGAAAACATCAAGGCCTGAATAATATCAATTCTAAGACTTTCCTAACTTAAAACTCTTACAAAATTACTAAGAGAGACCTGAGAGGTGCTGACAGGATTGGATTCCAATTCATAAATAACATTATCACCTCTAAATCCAAACTGACTTACTACTAGTAATTAGAGTTCTCTAGACAAAGATCTTATCGGGATTTTACTATTAAGTATAGGTATGTTACCTAATGGTCACTAGTTTTACCCCAATCTCCAGCTGTGGGGATTCATTGTTTGGGATCACATTCATTGTTTGGGATCACATATTTATGTCACAAATCTATCCATTTACTTGACTGTCAGTTCATAGCAATGAACTACATAGGAATGATGTACTCCCCATACCTAGAGATTGAGGTAAAACCAGTGACATGTTTGAGAGTCATAGTAACATTTATTATCACTTACAATGTGTTAAATACTGTGTTAAATGCTTAAATGTGTAACCTCATTTATCTTACACTCTTATTCTCATTTTTCAAAAGAGGTAACTGAGGCATAGAAAGCAGAGTTTAACCACTGCAGTGTACTGCTATTTTAAGATGGTTAATGAGGGTGCATTTGAATTTGCAAAACCCAGAGCAAATATGGAACTAGCTGTCCTATTCTCAAAATCAGAGTGACTACCACTCACTATTTCTTTTTTTCTCTATGTCTCTCCTTACTGTCTTCTATTCTAATTTATTACAATAGACTGTACTTTTTGTATTACTATTTGAACTAGCTTCCCATCTCTTGCCCAAATTCTCTCCCCCAACCCAGGCTTCCCCCCATCCTGCCTACGAGAAGAACACGTGGTACTTCAGGTCCTGGCGAGTTGAACGGGTGTAATTCTCGAAGAAGTAGACACCGGTCACAGCAAAAATGTAGAAGAAGATGATCAGCAACAACAAGAGGAAGGTCATGCTCTGGAGGCCATGACCTCAAGTCAGAGCTGGGCCAGACTAGGCTGATCTCCACCTACAGCCCAGTCAAGCCCACCCTGGCAATCTCCCACCAAACCCTCACTTCTGGTCCTGAACCCAGTCATCTCTAGACCACAGAGGCTTGACCCCAGACGTTTTCTCATCCAATAACAAATCACAAGGTCTTTCATTGCCTTCATTGACCCACCCAGACTTGTTTCATGTTAAACTCCCATGTTTATCTACCTTGCCCACCTGGTTTAGCTGCTACAGTCAAATCACCTTGAGGGACCTGACCAGGGCCAAAATAATGACTCGAATTTGACGAAATCGTGCAAAGAGTTTGAGAGACCTTAGCACCCGGCAGATCCTCAGCAACTGGAGCCATACAGACTCGCCTTTTACTCCTACCAGCACCACAACCTCAGGAAGCAGGGACTGTGGGAAACACACAGATTATGAGTAAAATATACTCAACAGCACCTATGCACAGTTGCCCCTTCTTTAGCTCATCTTCACAGTTCTCTGGACATTATCCATTGAATAACATTCTCTAGGGATTGCTTCATATTCAGCTTTTCTGTACTAAATTACTTAAACTCTTTACTTCAACTTTCAGACATAAAAAGGAGATAAATATAGTGCTTATCTCATTGGGTTGTTGTGAAGCTCAAATGAGAAAATACATGTAGAACAGAATAGTATCTGGCACTTAGTAAGTGCTTAGTAACTGGCAGATGTTATTGTTGGGGTTAACGTTGTGGTTAGATTCTGCCTTGTTCCTAATACCAACAACTCCTGCAATGACTGACTTTTAGTTTTAGGGGGAAAAAAAACCCCAATAAAATACTGAAGTTAGGTACATTTCTATGTGTTCCTTCCTGTGATCTAATTATCTTAACTTTTCTTGTCATTTTGATTCACCTAGGCATATTCTTCAGCCCACTAACCTAATCCTCAGGTTATCTATCCTTACCAATACGGTGACAACAAAGTCAAAGACATTCCAGGCATTCTTCCAGAAGAGGAAAAAACTGGATAGCCACATAAGAAGGATTTCCAAGATGAAAATAAGCAAGATGAACCAAGCTGCCACCTCCAGACTCAGCTTCAGTGGCAACAGTTTGATATTTGAGGATTCGAGCAATTCTGTGAGAATAGATCAAGGGATGAATAAAGGTTAAGGAAGTGGGAAAGTAAATGATAGAGAACGATCACAACCTGTCATAAACCACATTTGTGTCAACAGCTATTCCATCTTTCTTTGAGTTTCTCAACACTGTTGTTGCTTCCACCCATGAAATACAGGAGAGGACAGAATCGAACATGAAAAATAGCTACAACTCATCTCTCTGACTGGTATCTTGCCCTCCCACTCTGGGGTCACACAGACACCAAGGGATTGATCTCTTAATTACCACCAACCCTGTATGCTGTACTATTACCCAGGTCCCAAACTTCACTAAGAAGCAATGGACCTTAAGAATGGAATGAAAATGTGGGGCCATGACAGGTACAGTGCTTTATTAGGGATGTAGAGTATATTGAATTATAATAAGAAATTACTTGGTTCTTTGTTAGCTTTTAAACCATTCCCTTTCTTCTGTCTCAAATTGACTTTGTACTGCAAAACAAATTGAATTCTATTCTTTCCCTCTAAACTTTATCATTTGCTAATTGTTATTCCTTAACTCACTGCCTTCATCTTTCAACCCTCTTCATCGCTTTTATATATTTAATGGATGTATGCTATCCTACTGAAAAAACATTGAGATCAAAATAGGATTAAAAGCTAAAAATTTAATGTTTCCCTTTGAAACGGAATAATCTGAGAGCCTGCAAATGCATTATGACTGATATGTTTGGCAGTTAATGGCAATCAGAAGAACATACTTAAACTGCCATGTAGATTTTGACACACAGTTTTAATTGTTATTGCTTTTAGTAACATTTTTGGCTAATTATAATCATAATGGAAGTAAGAAATAATGCTGTTGAAACACAACTTCATGAAGAATATAAGAATAATTCTGCAAGTTTATCTCGATGATCTTCATTAGATTCTATAAATTGCATTCATCTGATCAAAAATTTCATATAGTACATCAAGATATCGCTAGAACCTCAAAAATCAATATAAAATTATAATTGTTATACTCAGTTTTTTGTTAGAAATAAGGGCTATTCACACTTGCAACATGTTTTCAGAGAAAAGCTTGCGAATGATCTAACACTTTCTTTTCTCTCATCATTTAGAAACAAAATATGAAAAATATAAAAATAAGCAACTAATATCATTGTGAAAGTAGTTTTTCTACATTTTATGCCCTAACACAAAATTAAATTTTCATCTACACTTTAACATATATCACATGTATTTAACATGTAATATATAATGTTATAAATCTGAAACTAATATGTTATATGTCAATTATATCTCAATTTTTAAAAAGGAATGAAAAAATTTTAATTTAATTTAAAAAATAAAATAAATAAAATAAAAACTATATAATATGCAAAATAAATATATTTGATCCTAAAGTCAAATTTTATGTCATTTTAAAATTCATGTGTAGACAAATCATATATTTTCTTTAAAAATAGCATGAATCACTTAAAAAATGGGAAAAGTAAAAATTTGCTTACAAAGGATTATTAAAATTATACAATAAACCTTAAAATATAATACATAATAATATGCTAGCCTAAAATATTATTTTTGTTTCAACTTGCTTCTTTATATCATAAAAATAATGAAATAATTAAGACTCTTAGGGAGGTTTTCAAGATTATATATGTATGACTGGGAAACAAAATCATTAAGACAAAAAAGACTGTGGAGCTCTGATCTAGAAAACTATCTGTTAATTACTATTATTTTCCCTATCTATAACAAACATTCTTCGTGATCTGGAAAACTGTCTTTTAAAAGCCTAAGCAAAGTCTTAATGTTTATTACATGAATTAGTCAGTTCAAAGAAATGTTAGTCACAAATTATTATTCCTCCTGCCTACCAGGAGAATGTACTTAATAAGATACAATTTTCATGAGTTTGCCACATGCTTCCCACTTGGGCAATCCACCTATCCTCTGCCACAGTGATCATGTTTCATATTCAGCTGTTTTATCAAATAGAATAGTTAGTGCTATTCTACTTTGATTTGTCCATTAGATTCAGGGAATTCTGTACATGTACTATTTATTTTATTCGCAGGATTAAGACTATATCCCTAACCCCACAAGGCAAATATACGCAAATTTTCATACAAGAAATAGGACATGTGGGTGATTTATTTCAAAAGTCTCCCCATATGGGGAGGCTATAAAACACTTCAAAATATATAGTATACCGTAGTGGGTCAATAACATCAATTATTGTGATATATTTAAATATCTTTGACCTGATTGCATCAAAACTGTTTTAAAGTGGGAAACTTCTCCAAAACAGTGAAACAAGGGAGTGCTTTTACTATCCTTTATCCTTTCTGAACAGTTTGTTCAAGATGTTAATCAAATGAGCTCACTGATTCTCCAGATTCATTTTATTGTTAATACATTTCCTATAATTTATGACTGGCTTTAGAGTCATAATCTTTAAGTCATTTTTTTGGCTCATCTAATATCTTAGTTGTACCTAACTTTACATACTTCATGAGATTTCTTATTCGTACTTAATCTTTCTAAACATACCTGTAAAAATGTAAGTATTGGATCACTCATTGATAGGCACCAATATCTCTAAAAGGTTAATTCAAACAAAGTTAGACTAAACCTACAGAAGAAATATAACTGGTCTTTACATCTCCAGTTTCTTGTGAGTCTATTACACTCTCCTTTTAAGTGTCTAGACTACCTTATATCTACACTCTCGAGAATCCTCCAAATGTTCAGCAGTTGCACAAACCCTACTCCAGGAGACAACGTAATTATGCCTATCACAATTCGAGTAACATTTAAAAATGTAGAATAATCAATTTAAAGGAAAAAAAAAATCCCATCCACTTCCTCTTTCACTTAATGTCAATTCTCACCTATTTCAACCATAAGGACGATTGTATTCAAAAAGATGAGGAAGATGATGAAGTTTGTGAAGAGAGGACCTGTTTTCTCTTAAGGAAACATACGGAGTGGAGTTCTTTCTGATTCCTGTAGGTGAAATAATAGGAGCAAGGATAGAACCAGTGAGAATGTAGTTTGGAAAGGGATAAATAAGTCGTTAGGCAGATGATGAGGCAAGAGACAGTAAAGCCCTGGGATAAAAATGAGTGGCATTAAAGGATACGCTCAAGGACCCATCCAGCCCACAAAGAAAGAGGTGGCAGACGACTGCAGCGCACTCGAAGCCTGCTCATCAGTCTCTGGCCATGTGTAATCCGTTCTACATGACGAGGCTTTATGGAGAAGCTCACGAGCTGGTGTTGATCTCCCAGCATAAGTTTCTTCTGATGAGAAGAATCTACACCAAAAATTAAAGGACAGTAGATAAAGACAAGTTTTGAGGGAATATGAAGAACAGGTTGGATTGGCGGCAGGGATACTGATTACATAAGAGGCCTCCTACGGCAGGAGCTTGCCTTGCTGCTCCTTCCCACAGCAACTAATATTAGTTTGGAATAAGAACTAATATGATGCTCATGATCAACACAACACCGTCCATGCCCAAGAATAAAGGCAGCAGGTTCAGTCCTCAAAGTTTTAAGTGTCTGGTAGAAACTTTCAAGTCAGCCAGGGCTAATGGTTATCCTAGGCCTAAAAGTGAGTAACATGGGTTCTATCTCCTGTATTCAAAGAGTTTGAGTTATAAAACTTTGATTCATCAAGTCTGGTGTAACCTCCAAACTAGTAACCAAATCAATCTCCTGAATTTTCCATCCTTAAAATTGGCTCTCTGCTTCCTACTATTTTGGAAGGTGTGAATGGGAGTCTTAAGTTTCTCCTATCGAAGAAACAGGCTGCTGACCAAGTATCTCCCGGATAGTGTGCCGTGGCACAGCTTGGCTCAAGCCTTGCAGATGTTCGATGAGCGAGAAAGTATCTATGAGCCGAGAACGAATGGCATCAGCTCGGGGCAGCTGCATGTGTCCATCTGGGTGGTAGGTGGCCATGTCTGTCAAGAAAATGTTTGAATCAAGTGTGATTTCATTCTTGGAGTTACACCAAAGATTAGAGGTTTTCTTCCCCTCCTCCCATCCTCTTTGCCCTTAAGAAGACAAATAAAAACATTGTACCAAGATTCAAAGATTTTTGAAACAAAATGATAGAGAATACTGCGCAGTTGACTAAGTGGCCAGACACCTTCACTTGTGTGAGGCATTTCTAATTAAAAGCAGCAGCCACAATGGCAGGAGTCAGGGGCTGGACAAAAAGGAATTCGGGCACCACAGGGACCTGAGGGAATCAGGCAATGCATTGTGGTGTGGGGCAGTGGGAGGGCTTGGGGTTGCTCCCGAAAGAACAACCAAGTTAAGAGTAATTGGACAAAATGCAACAGCCTGACATTTTAAAAATGTGTCCCGTCCCTAAGCTCCCTCGGGTACCAGCTTCTTCTCTCATTTCCTGCTCATGGGCCTCACCTCAGCCCAGGCTCTCTCTCTTCCGCCCACCGAACCCTGACTTCACTCTTCCGCTTCTGGCACCCCCTGAGCAGGATGAACTCAGGGTCGGATCCCCGCCTCACTGCGCCCCATTTCCAGCTCGGCTCCGCCTGCTCCCAGGGTTTCGGTACGCCCCGGGCCCAGCCTCAGCCCCAGCCCTGGCCCAAGACCCCTCCCAGCCCAGCTCGCCCCGGCAGTAGCTTCCTCGGCCCCGCCCCGCGCTCTGGCCACTCGGCAGTTACCAGCTGGTCCCGCCCGCCCGACGCAGGCGCCGCGCAGCCAATCGGCGGCTGCCACACTGCGGCCCGAGCCGGGCTGGGGGGTTGGGGCCTCCGGCTGCAGGTCCGCCTGGGGTAGACGCGTGAGTGCAAGCGGAGGGTGCGTGGTCGCCGGCCCGGCCTCCGCAGTCGCAGCCGCGCCCGACCCTCCTGGCCGCCCCCACCTCGCCTTGTCGCCATGCACCTCCGCCGCCTAGCGCTCTTCCCAGGCGTGGCTCTCCTTCTGGCCACGGCCCGCCTTGCAGCTGCCTCCGACGTGCTAGAACTCACGGACGACAACTTCGAGAGTCGCATCTCCGACACGGGCTCAGCGGGCCTCATGCTCGTCGAGTTCTTCGCTCCCTGGTGAGGCTACTGAGCCGGGGCGAGGGAGGGAGGGAGGGCCGGGCTGGGCCGAGGGGCGAGGGCGCGGGAACGGTTGGGCCTACGCAGCGCCGGGCCCGCCACCATTCCAGTGGGCCCGGCTGCGGCAGACAGATTTCCCAGCGCCGGGGAGCCGAGCTCCCTCGTCGAGAGCGAAGAAGTGGATGCTGATAGCCTGGGGGGCAAGACCCGAGAAGGAAAACCCGAAGAAGGCCCCTCTCGGGCAGAGCCACATCGTTACCTCCGTGCTCTTGCGGCACTTCCTATTTGCAGAGGGTTTAACCATCCCTCTGCCCCTCCTCGATTATCTTTAGTTTCTTGGTGAATCAGTGTTAATATTCTCCATTCTACAGATGAGGCATTCCAGGGCCTCACATTGGAAGCGAACGTTTCACCAAGTGCAGAGGTCCTGGGCTTCCAGGATACTGCTTTTTCCTTGCCCCACATCTCGCGGCCATTGATTTCTAACCAAGGTCACTCTGTGCTGCACAGTGGTTAAAAGTGCTTTCTGGGGCAGGCAGTTACTTTGTCCGTTGCATGGTACACACTTTCTCTATTATGTTAACCATTTCTCAGCACCAGCAGAGCCCTGTCAAAAATAAAGTAGGTGAACAAGAGTAAATTTTTCAGAATCTGTCTAAATTGTCAATTTTAATTAGGACTTTTGAAAAACGCCAATAAAACCACTGAGAAAGTAACCAGTGTTGGTGAAATACTCCACTTCAGGGTGATTTAGCTAAACAAGTATGTAAATTCCTTAGGATAAAACCCGAAATAAAAAGCTTGGGGGCTGAGAGAACAAATAGGATTTCTGGTCCAGTAAACCAGATTTTTTCATTTAAACCCCAAATGTTTACCACAGTAATGATTGTCTTAACGCATGGGATAGCTCAGTATCTCTATGTTAATTAACAGTACTTAATTTTTCCATCCTTGCCACAATTGCCCGTAATTAAAAACTATATTCAAAAGTATCAGTAAGACAAAATGTGTAACTTTCACTTGCTTCTAACTGTAGTCTTCACTGCAGGGGCTCAACTGACTTGGGGGTTACACAGGAAGTCCTGTAGTCAAGACCACCTGAACCAGAAGGATGTGCTAGAGGCAACAAAGTTTGTTTTCAGCAGAGACAGATTTTGTGTCCAAGGCATTCCTTTGGGTAATTGGTGGTACTGATTACATCATAGGGTTTTTTTAAATACATCTTTAGACACATATTCTCTCCTAAAAACAACTCTTCCCAATCATATAACCATGCTGTTAACTTTAAGGGGGTGTCACTGTAATGACATTGGCTGTATGGAGTTGTATTAAAATGACGTGGTGCTTTAGTGACTACAAGGGACAACATGAAGTGGATTGCTGGAGAATTGTGGGCTATTAGACTATTAATTAAAACAGATTTTTTTTTTTCAATTAAAAGTGTTCTTTGCTACTTTAAATTATTATATATGGTTCCCTAAGAACTACATAGCCCATCATGCACTGAACTATTCCCAAAATTGGGTGACTCTGCTGTCGTGTCTGCTTTTACTTGATCTAGATGGTAGGGTCATCCACGATGCCGGCAAGAAGGATACTTATCTGGAAGAGTAGTTTGGAATCAAGGAAGTCTCCTGTTGATAATATCCTCATTTCTTCACATTCAGCTATTTTTATTTATTAATACTTCAGCTGCAGCTGTTTTCTGACTACAAGTTCTTAGTTTTAGGGTATTTTTTCACTTTCATTTTACAAGTGAAAGTGAAAGATTGCAGTCGATCGACATCGTAGACTAATATTTTCATTATGGAGATAATCTATAATTTGTAAGAATGAGAGTATCTGAATTTCTCTGGGGAAATAAACACACTAAATGTTTGTGATAATTTCTGGAAATTTATTGATACAGTGTTAAATTCTCACCATCTACTTATGTTGTAGATTTGTGCCCAGCTGTCTAGGAGGGTGTATTAAATAATAACATTTGATATACAGTGTTTCTAGAGTATAGAAAAAGACTATGCAGATAGAAAAAATGGAATATTAAATATTTATTTTTATACATGTTGATTCCTTTACTTAGAATTCCTATATCTGCACTGCCAGCACCCCCCAATTGATCTTTTCAGCAAAACTGAGCTCAAAAGTTACTTCTTCCTCCCTGAACTAATTGTTCCCTCTTCTCTGTTGAAACCTAATAATAATACTGTGTCAGACTGGTGTTCCTGTAGGAAAATGACTATATCAAACTTTCTGTCAGAGGCTGAAATACCCTTTGGCACATAGTTGGGCATGAAGTGATGATTGATGATTGTTGGGATTCATTAGTAACTGCTAAGTTGCTAAGTGTCATCCCTGAAAGTAGATGGGATTATTTGTGTTTTCATATTATCTAGGAGTAGGTGAAAGAAGTAGCGGTTAATCTTGATATTCACCTTCAAACGCCGCCAAGTGAATTCTATTCCTGGTGAGTTTAAAGAGGGCAGTCTCCTCCAGTCTCATTGGAACTTGTTAAACAGGTTCTCCACCTGGACATTTGATGACCTTATGGATATTGACGATGCCTAGGGCAGTGATTTGCAGTCCCAGCCTTGCCAAGTGCACTACTCACTATGCCTCCACATTCTGATTCCCTCCCTCCTGGATTCTTGGAGGAAGTCCCAGTTGGGGCCCACACATGCATTTATTTAATACTCCATGGATATTTTTTATATGCATCTAGGTTGAGACCCACTGGTCTGGTGTAATTATTTTTTACTATTATTTCTTTTTAAATGCTTTAAGATAGTTTAGATGGAACTGTTCTTAAATCTGTTGCCTTAGCCTTCTTGACAGTTCCTACATATTCAACAGAAATCTCTCGTTTCTTTTATTCTCATTGCCGCCACGCTGGTCCAAGCTTTCATTATCAGCCATGTGAAATTTATCTTCCAGGTGTCATTATCTCTGCTTTCCCCCTTTCTGTCAGTCCTATATATATCGCTGACCGATGTAGTCTTAATACACATAACACATTTATTATCTCTTCACAACCCGACAGGGCCCTTCACAGTTTTCTGTATATATGATTCTCACTAGTAATTTTACCTTTGCTTTACTATTCCCCTTATCTAAAATACCCTACTCTGTCCTGGCTGAAGCCTTAAATCCTTAAAGGCCCAGATCCAATTCTTTCTCCCTTTAACATACATTCTCTTTTAACTTTTGAATCATTTTCCCAAAAGTCTGGATTTTTCAGATAAATCGATTATTTTATTATATTAAATCAGTTATAATTTGTGCATCTGTTACAAACCAGGTACAGACAATATAATACCATATTTCAGACACATCTAAGATGCTACAGGTTGTGAGAGGAATCATTATTTTGTCTCGCAAAGAAATGCTACCATTGAAACTTAAATGACTGCAAGACACATCCCAATTTCAGATCCGGTAAAATGTGCATCTGACATATAGGGAATACCATTTATTCACCACCCAGTCTAAAACAAAGCAAGTACAATTGAAGCCCCCTATGTACCCCTTCCTCATCTTATATACTTCTTCATACTGAATTTGGTATTTATCATTAGGTCCTTTTATATATTTAGGAAATAGGTATGTGACCTTAAGCACATCTAATATATTACATTTTTTGTATCACTTTTTCTTCATTTAAGCTTTCTAATGAGTTTTGAATAGGACTAAAGACCTTGAAGACTATAAGCTCTTGTAGTCCTTTGTTTTAAACCAATTTTGGGGAAAAATGTTTCCAAGTTGCTTATTCATCGCTTAAAATAAATTTTGAGACTGTTGGCTATGAAATATATCAGCTCAAGTTTCATCAGTGTTTCCTTCCTTTGGTTTTCTAATTCTATTTTTGCTGTCTATGGGGATGTTACAGAAATGCTCACCTTCTCAAAGTGATCCCTCCGCAGCCCATTGGCTTTTGAAGAGAATATACAGCTGGTGCTAGCTGTGCACTAAGGAGGATTCCCCCTTTACTCGTTGCATATACAGCGTGCCTATGGGACTGTTAGGACTTTCAGGCAGAGGAGCAGGTGCTTCTGGTGGCCCTCTGGGAAAATATTCTTTACTGATAAAATGTTTTATCCTCCTGAGTTCTTAATAGCCAGGTGAACTATGTAGCTGTAAAAATCAGGCTTACCATCATGTCATTCAAATGCTATGTTGAAACTCAGATTGAGAGGAAAAAAGCCTTCAATGAACTGCTAAAGTATGACAAATGGGTGCCTTCTGGGCCTCATTTAGCTACCTCCTCCAACTGTGTCATATTGAAGGAATGAAGAAAAAGTGCTTTATGGTGATTCTTCAAGAGTTAATATCGTACTTGAGACCTTATAATTCTCAATCACTATATTTTTAAGAACCACAGTGCTGTTTTAAGAAAAAAAGTACCTTCCTTTGGGAAATGCTACCAGGAATGGGATTGTTACTGTCTTGTCCTTCATTTTATCTTCATTAATTGGTCAAAAGGGCATTAGCCTTCTACCTCTTTAATGTGGAATGTACAGCTTTCAGGAGTCAATTGTATTTTTTTCATTATTAAATTTATTGGGTGACATTGGTTAATAAAATTA